TAAAACCCAGCGACGAGTCCTTCAGGGGGATTTCAAGGTCTACCCAACTAAGGAGTTCCAGCAGTCACGCTCATTATGCCCCTGGGAAAGTGTAGGGATAAAAAATTTTTTGCAGATATTCCCGCTTTGGAAATTTAAATCCTCAAAATTTATTCAAGGAATTTTAAAAATGGTTTAAAATGACGAAAGTTGATAAGTCGAACATACGCAACATTTAGTTTTCTTTTTTCAAAAAACGTTTCGCCCACGCGGGGTTCTTCAGCGGTACAGAAGGTCTGCAGAAGCAGTGAGATGTGAAGCGTCGAACCTTTTCCAGGGCTGAGGGACTAACCACATAAAAAAAGGGTCTTCGGGGTTTTGATGGACTGATTACTTCATCTTCACTCTCTATGCTTCCTAAACTCTTTTATACTCGACCGAATAAGTCTATGTGTAGGAAAAACGTTTCGTAAAGACACCAACTGTTGCATATATATATATATATATTTTATATATATATAATATATATATTTTATTTATTATTTATATATATATATATATATATTATATATTATATATATATTATATTATTTAAATATATATTGTGTGCCGAATAGGCAGAACTTTCGATTTGGTTAAATAGCAACGTCATCTTGCCATATGGGACAAGTGAAAATTTGTGTATGCAATAATTTCGCCAAAATCATTCTGACCTAACGAAAAAAATATATTTGATTGTGTTTGTTTAGTATTTAAATTTTTTGTAACAAATCTAAAAATATTTAGTTGGGTTAGGCTAAAATAAATTTGTTCTTGTTATAAAAAGGTTAGGTAAGTTTTCTAAGATTCTTTTTGGTTTTGAAAATTTAAAATTTTTTACATTAACTTAATGAAAGAAGGGTATACCCTTTAACGTATAAGAGAAAATTCAGAAAGGACTTAATTTTAAATGAGTTTTTGCTAATGGACCAGTTTACATATTGGCAGACTTATATTATTATATATATAATATATATATTATATAATTTATTATTTTATTATATAATATTATATATATATATATATATTTTTATATATTATGAGCGTGTTTGATGGGAAAGTGAATGGAGACAAATGGTTTTTAAAAATTTGGACGGCTTTGGATGTGAGCAAAGTAACATTTATGAAGGGATTGGGGAAAACCCGGCGGGCCGGACTTGAGTCCTGGAGATGGGAAGTACAGTGCCTGCACTCTGAAGGAGGGGTGTTAATGTTGAAATTTAAAAACTGTAGTGAAAAGGGCACCCTTCTGGCAAGCAGTGATGGAGCGAATGATGGTGAAATTTGTTTTTTTTTTTTCGGCCACCTGCCTTGGTGGAATCGGCAGTGTGTAATAAAAAAAATAATATATATATATATATATATTATATATATATATATATATATAATATATATATAAAATATATATATATATATATATATATAAAATATATATATATTATATATATATATATATATATTATATATGAAGAGAGAGAGAGGGGAAGTGTCTTGATGTTTAAATTTTGGGTTTATCTTTTTAGAGTTAAAAAATAGTTCACTGTCAACGCCCCGAATTTTAGGAAAACTCATATATTTTGTATTGGTCTTGGTTTATTGGGGAAAAAGTAGAGAAGATTTTAAACTTGTTTTACGGGGTTTTAATATTTATCGTGTTTTTATGAAGGAGAGAGAGAGAGAGGAGGGAGATAGGTAGGTGGTAGATGTGTCTGTTGTGTATGAGTTTTGTAGTTTTCGTCACAACTACCCCTTCCATTATCGGTTGCTGTGACAATGAGATCATCCCCGGCCAGTTAAGATAGGGAATGGCAGAGAGATAAAAAAAAAAAGGCTTACAATTACGTTTCGGTCCAACTTGGACCGAAATGTCTAACATTCCGTAGCTCGGTTTATGGGAGGAGAGGACCGGCGAAGGTTGTTGTTGATGAATGAGACACTTGTGCAACACTTGGGTTTCTTTATTGTGGAAAAATTTCGCTAGTAAAGATACTCCAAATGTTGAACAAGTGTCTCATACACCAACTTATCAGTTTTCTAAACCATTTATCTAACAGTTGATCAAGTCCGTCATCCAACGTCTAGTCTAGTATCACAGACAATCAACAGTTTACATGTAAATACGTATAAGTTGATGTTGTGCATTGACTCTGGTGAATTAACTGAAGATAAGCTGCATATGGTGTTGACTGAATGCAGGGGCTCAGAACTTAGTAGAGATTTTTTTTTTTTTTTTTTTTTTTTTTTTTTTTTTTTTTTTGCTTGTGCTGATACCTCCTCCATCCAGCCTTTGAGATATAGATGTTCTGTGGGAGAAAAGGAATGTCTGGAGTTTGAGACGGTTGAGTGTAGAATTTGGAATACCTATATCTCCAAGACAATCCTTCAGAAAATTGTGCCTTTTCCTGAGCTGTGTCCTATGATGGGATAATAAAGACATTCACTGAATAAAATGCTCAGTGTTCCGCTGAGTCAGACAGGTAGTTTGTAAATGGTACTAAATACCAACACATTTCTTATATTAAACATATGTAAAAACTAATATGATTTTCCTACTTTCTTAAATGCTCACGAGTCAAAGAAAATACCAGCACTCTTCACGGTGTAAAACATTAAACAGATTTGTGATTTTCACTCATTGTTGACTACCTCCTTGAGAGGTTTCTGTTTACCAAGTATATATTTTTATGAATTTTGCATTATTTCTCGACAGTGTTTGCTTCACCCTTCGAGGTCATCGCTACTGACTACGAAACTTACTCCTGCGTCTACTCCTGCATCAGCACCGATAACTACAAAGCAGAGTTCGGCTTCGTGTTCTCTCGTACTCCCCAGACCTCAGGACCTGCTGCCGAGAAGTGTGCCGCTGTCTTCAACAAGAACGGTGTTGAGTTCTCCAAGTTTGTGCCTGTCTCCCAGACGGCTGAGTGTATCTACAGAGCTTAAATCTCTTGGAAACTTTAACATGCTATAATGAAGATCAAATCATTCTTTCATTATACCATCATGATGCAACAAAATAATGAACACTTATCCAACTCAAGCGTAAGAGGTGACCACACGTTATTCCCAAGCAACGAGCCCTGAACATCTTGGTGTGAATATGTAAAGAGTTTTTTAATAGGGATTATACATAAATCTGTATATATATTATATATATATATATATATATATATATATATATATATATTATATATATATATATATATATATATATATATATATATATATGGTTTGTATCAATATATATAATTTGCGCTATCGTTACAATATGTTTAATAAATTTCCAATTAAAAATTATATCAAAAATTTTCTTCCTTTCAAAATTAATTCATTACTACACCTGGACATCAAAAGTCTCGTGTGGATAACAGTGTACAGAGAAACAGACACAAATTCAGTTACATTAAATTCTTGAGGACGTTGCGTTCATGCAGTCTGCTTTACCAAGTCACAAGAGCTTAAACTTGAACAGAAAGGGGTAATGTGTACAGAGAGCCTGAAGTAAGATGAAGAGTCAGCTGAATGACGGGCATATAAGCCAGCTGTTTCACAACATTTTAGTATCTAGTAAAGTTAAATACATCAGCAATGAGCTGCTACTATATTCTATATAATGGGAAAAAATCTAGTTACGTTTCCCAATTATATACCATCTTAGTGGACGGATTATGTACATAGTGTTGACATCTGTCAAATTCAGCTGAGAGACTTCAGTAGGGCAATGTGGATATCGTCAAGTATGTCTTTTAAAGTTTCACCAGCGTCGTTTCAGAACTTCAGTTTCTTTAGCCTGACAATCTCCATCTCTCAAGATAGCCTGAACCATGCACGGGAGAAATGTATTTTTTATAAAGATACCTCCATAATCACAGAGTAAGGCAACATAAATAATATATAGGAGATAATATAATATATATATATATATATATTTTATATATATATATATATATATATATATATATATATATATTAAAATATATATAATATATTATATATGGATTTAATTTCATTTAAAAACTGTATGAAAGTAAAGCACCTCCTCCCGGCGACGTTGAGAATATGGGAAGATTTTCTTTTTCTGGGCCCCCTGGGGCCCTTGGTGGGAATCGGCCCAATTTTGGGAAAGTGATTTTTTAATAATTTATATAAAAAATTATATATGTAATTTTATTATATTTATTATTGATTTTAAATTATATATATTTAATTGGGAAAACTTTTTTAAAAAAATTCATTTAAAAAAAAAAAAAAGAAAACTGGTTTCGTTGTTTTGCTCCCGTGGGCCCCCCAAGATCAGCGCATTTTCCCCCCTTATGGGGGGGCGTGAACTAAAATGGCTTTCCCCGGGCCCTTGGTTGGGGAAAAATTTTTTTTTTTTAAAATTAAAAATTTTATTTTTAAGGGAAGTTTTTCTTTTTTTAAACCCCTCTCTGAAACCCATGGGAAAAAAAGGGATTTTTTTTTCCCCAACAGGGGAATCCTTTTAAAAATAAATTTAAAAATATTTTTTATTAAAAATAATTATTATTTTTTTAAAATTTAATTTTTAAATATTTTTTAATTAAAAATTTTTTTAATAAAAAAAATCATTGAAAAAAACTCGAAACAGGAAAATGTACAAAGACATATTTCCTCCCCCCCCACACACCAATACCCTTTTCCCCCTCTAGGGCAAACCCAAAAGGGCCCCGGGCCCCAGGCAACCCTCGGGCCCCCCCCCCCCCCCCCAAGGCCCCCCCCCCCTCCGGGCAGGCGCGGCCCCCCGGCGGCGCTTGGCCCCCCCGGGGGGAATTAGGGGCCTTTGGGGCCCATTTTCCTCTGGCTTGCCTTCTTCCAAGGATAGATGGTGATCCCGTCGGGGGGTTTGCGGGGTTGTGGGTTTTGTTTGCTGCAAGGGATGTGGCCCCCCGGCAGGGCATCCGCGTAGCAAGGGGTTCCTTATGTGCGTTGACCTCATTGTTCTTCATGCCCCTTTTGGTTTTGGAACAGTTAAGACCATGTAGACCGTTTTGGGTCTGCTTGACTGCCGCAAATCACAATATTCTGGTAAATTTGGGGGCCAAAAGGGCGCAGAGCCACTGCAAAAGGGAGGGTCTTAGGGTGAGTCGCTTTCCCCATTCCCGTTGGGAACGTTTGGGGGAAGTCCCGGATAGTGCACTCACAGCCGGGAGACGGGAATCTCCCTATCTGAGTTGCACCCCTGAGCTGTTGGCAACACCTTTTAGAAATTGGGGCCACCCCAGTTTGACTGTTTGTGACCCGTGTCACTGGGGTTTTTGGTGCTGGAGCAGCAAGACTCCCATTCGGTGATGGCACTGGCATAGCTGGGTTTCTTTCCGCTGGTCCGGGGGTGTCGGGAAGAATTTGTCTTATCAACTCGTTTGATGCAGGGAAAGGGGACAAAAAGTGGTAGAGCAATCGGGGAAGATCTGCGTACTCCTACCCTCCAACCCTGCCCGAAGGAGGCTTGAAACCACTGTCCTCGTAAAGGGGAAAGATTAAAACCCACCCCTTAGAGGGCCCTTCAGGAGAGGTCTACCCTTGATTTTTGGATGCTGAAGGCGGGGGAGATCTCAGAAAATAGGTAAGTTTTGGGATTGACGGCACCGGGTGGTAGGTAAAAGGCATCGTGTGTGTAAATGTTTTCATCCTGCTTTCCTTTTCCTTTCCGGAGGTCTGAGACTTTTTTTTTCCAGGATCGATGATGGGGATTGGACCCCAAAAGGAGCACCGGGAGGGCTATTGGTGGATCAATGGCTCGTGTCCCGGGAAAAAAAGGCACATTTCTGGACACTGTTGATTTTTAGAAAAAATATTTTTACATTTGGTGGGGTTTAAAGAAAGGCCCGGCTTTCTCCTGTCTTTAATTTTATGATTCCCCTAGGGGAAATTCTGTTGTGCCCCAGGGGCGTCGTCAGAACCAGATTTGAGCTCGCTGGAGAGTGCCTCCGTGACTTCCTTTATGACCAAACAAAATAGAAAGGGGGCCGGGGGAGGGGCCCCCCGTTGCACGCCCCCACCGGTCAATTCATGGTCCCCAAAACAAAGTTTGGGGAAATCACACTATAACACGATTCTTGAAGGATAAAGGGAAGGGAAGTTTTTATAAACTGTTGGAGAGACTCCCTTCTGACTGAGTTGAAAACATTGGCAAAGTCCAATTTGACCCAAGGTTTTTCATAGGACATGTTTTTTTTATATTACTCGGCCATGGGCGCTGCTTCACAGCCCGTTGAACGCCGAAACCGAGCGAGTTGGTTTCAGCATTGCAGCAGCCCCTTGCTCACCCTTTTTACTGCAGCCTTGGCGACTAGCCCGAAGGGGGTTACCCACTGCAATGGGCCTGATTCCGCCATCCTTTTTCCGGGGGGCACACAATGAGGCCAAAGAAAAAGGGTCTGATGGGCCCTGGGGGCACCCCAGCCAGGCACAGGGTTTGGAAAAATTTTGGGGAGTTTTAGACAGAGCCTCTCTGAAACCTCACCAAGTGCGGATTGAGTATTTTTTTTTGTTGAGGCCTTAAAACCGGGAAACCCCCCTGGAAAACCCCGGGAAATGACATAGCAGCTTTATAACATCAGCATCCTGAAGGTTAGATGTTCTCCCTGCTGCAATGTCAGGGGGGGTCAAAGTTGGGACTGGGAGCCCTGGGGGGATGTTTGTCCTTTGAGCTTGCGCCGTGCTGACGTTCTTGGGAGCGATGGTATCCCACTGGGTTATAAATCTCAGAGCCCAATGTATTACCCTCTCTTTTTTTTGCTAATTTGGGCTCTGATTTTTTAGGTGTCGGGTGTCCTGTTTTTGGCATTTGCCCGCGGGGTTTGTCGCCCAGGGGAGACGGACGAGGTTTTTCATCCCTTGGAATGCATTTATTGCCCCAATAACAGTGTTGCTAGTGACTTGTCCCCCCCTTGGTGGGACAGCCAAACAGCATTGCCCAAAAAACAGCAAGTTGTGCCGGATCTGTTGTTTTAAGGAGCATCGTGATTTTTTCGAAAGGGCGCGAATTTGCTACAGCCCGGGGGGCTGCTTTGGGGGTGTGTGTCGAGTCCCGGTGGTGTTAATTTGATTGCAGATTTTAGGTCCCCTGTAAGGTGAAGTCACGGTAGCTGTCAGCCCATTGCTGGGGGAGGGTGGTAGTTTTCATTTGGAGCCTCCTGGACCTAGACATCCCCTTGTGGCACGGGTGTTGCCAGATGTGATATATATATAATATTAATTTTAAATTTAAAAAATTTTTATAAATTTTTAAAATATATATTAATTTTAAATATAATATAATATATTTATATATTTATATATATATATATATATAATATATATATATATAATATAAAATATATATATATAAAATTTTATATATTTTATATATATATCAAAACAACACTCAGAAAGTATTTGAGAAATTTCAAGTCCTGTGATATAATTAATTCAAGATATGTCCTTGATATGTGAAGTCACGTAAGCTGAATTCTCCTATTCTTAGAGTGTTGTATTTTCATATTAAATCACCTGACTAGAATCATTATTGCATATATATAATTATATATACATATATATATAAAATATATATATATATATATATATATATATAATATATATATATATATATATAATATATATATATATATATATATATATATATATTATATATATATATATATATAATATATATATATATATATATATATATATATATATATAATATATAAATATATATATATATACTTGATTTAGGAAGTATTCATTCAGTAAAGAGAAGTCTCTGAAGGTTTTGTAGAAGTCAGCTACCCAGCTGACGGCGGAGAGTATTAAAAGCCTGATAGATCAGGGTAAATATCCAAGAGACCTGGTCTGGGAACGGGCCGCTGGGGGTTATTACCCCTAGTAGCCTCTGGAGGCAACCATGTAACCATCCACTCAACCGCTGCCATGGAAGCTTTCTTGCCATCTACTCATGGTTCAACCCCCGACCGGGTGGAAACACTGCATGTGTTTCCTTCCACCTTCTGCCCCTGTTCACTTAGCAAG